TATAAAAAATAGAAAATTGGGCTGGACATGTGTGGTGCTCTCCTGTAGTCTCAGCTACTGGAGAGGCTGAGGCAGAAGATCGCTTGACCCAGGTATTTGAAGTTACAGTGAGCTATGATGATGCCACAGTTAAAAAGAATGAGGAAGCATTCTACATAGAGTTACAGAAAGATCTTCATGATACACTGTTGAGTGAAAAAAGCAAAGTGCATAAGAGTGTTTAATATACCACATTTTGTGTGGGAGGGAGCAACTATATATATTTTTTATTCGTATGTATATGAAGAAACTTCAGAAGAATACATAAAGAAGAGTGGTTCTTAGCTGGGAACTGAGCAAATGGGGAACAATGATGAAAGGGAGGCCTTTCATTATGATTCTTTTTATATTTTCTGGATTTTTGAACCATGTGAATGCTCTCTTATTCAAAAGGTAAATTATAAAGGAAAAAAAGATATGGTCAAGAAAAACAGGAAAAACATCATGAAATAAAAGAAGAAAGTTTGGACCATGTTGGAATACAGAAGAATAGGGAACTAGGTGTAAGCTAGCCTGATACCATGGCACTATACGCCAAGCGACAGAGCAAGACTCTATCTCAAAAAATAAATTAAGTTAAAATAAAATAAAAAAATAAAATAATCTTTATTTAAAAAGTGTTTGTACTATTTCACATTCCTACCAACAATGTATGACCATTCCAGTTGCTCTACATCATCACCAGTGGATATTATCAGTGATGTCTTATTATGTGTAATGGTATCTTACTGTGGTTTTGCTTTCCATTTCTTTAATGACCAATGATGTTGAACAACTTTCATGTACTCTTTAACTGTTTTTTCTTGTTTGAGTTTTTTTGAGACAGGGTCTCCCTCTATTGCCCAGGGTAGGGTGCAGTGGCATCATCATAGCTCACTGTAACTTCAAATACCTGGGGTCAAGCGATCCTTCTGCCTCAGCCTCTCCAGTAGCTGAGACTACAGGAGAGCACCACCATGTCCAGCCAATTTTTCTATTTTTTATAGAAATGAGATCTTGCTATGTTGCTGAGGCTGGTTTTGAAGTCCTGGCCTCAAGCAATCCTCCTGCCTCAGCCTCCCAAAGTGCTAGGATTACAGATGTGAGCCACCATGCCCAGCCCACCTTTGTATATTTTCTTTTGTGAACTATCTGCTTAAATCATTTGCCTGGTCTTTATTGGGTTGTTTGTCTTTGTATTATTGAGTTATAAGAGTTCTTTATATATTTTGATAAACAAATTTTTCATTTTAATAAAGTCTAAATTATCTTTTTTAAAAATTTTACAGTTTGTGCTTTTTGTGTCCTATCAAACAACTCTTTTAGCATTGGATTTTATATTTTATGCTTATGTATACCCTGGCTTTCTGTTTATTGCAGTCAAGCTGTATTAGTCGACAAGACCGTTTACATTTCAGGACAGATAGGCATGGACCCATCAAGTGGACAGCTTGTGCCAGGAGGGGTAGAAGAAGAAGCTAAACAAGTAAGTGATTTTCCACATTTGAAGTTCCCTTTTCTATTACTTTTTAATGTTGAAGAATATTAATAATCCACTTGCCTGATTTGCTTTATAGAAATTAAAAGATAAATACTTTTTTAAACGACGGTAACGCCGTGAGTTGTAGAGAGCGAGGTTTTGTTGAGTATGAAGAGCGTGGAAAATCGTTGATGAGATCAGTTGTGAACGAGGCTGAAAGGAGTCGCAGGTGTCGGTGTAGGTCGCAGGTGGAGAGTTGACTGTGGTAGAGAGCCGGAATCGTGTGAACAGGTCGAGATGAGACATGTGTAGCAGCGGTCGCACAGGCGGGAGTGTGAGAGAGTGTTGTGGGTTCTTTCAGGCCCAGCTGAGCGCTGTCCGTTGGCCGCGGGGCTAAAAGAGACGACGAGAGCAAAAAGACACCAGCCAGTGAAGTTAGGAAAGCGAAAACTATGGGGTTAAAAGAGAAGTAAGGAATTGGGAGTGGATGAGATCGTTAATCGCGAAGTGAGAAGTGTAAACGGTATGAATTGAATGGCAGTGGGTGCCCACTGAGGGTTGGGTTTAGTTGAGAGTACACAGGAAGGATAGGAAAACGAAGCTAAATGTCTAACCATAAGGAGCTGGTTGAGGGTGAGGAGTCGGATGGTGAGAGTCCGGTAGGCAGGGCGTAGGAATGTGAGTGTGAAGGAGAGCGGTGCCGAAGGATAAATTGTCACGAGTGGATAAAATAAAACCAAGAGGCAGAACAGCATGCATAGTATGCTACCATATGTACATGTCTGAGTGTTTATGAATATGTAGGTTTATTGGCTAGGCACGGTGACTCACACCTGTAATCCTAGCACTTTGGGAGGCCAAGGCAGGAGGAATGCACTTGGGGGCCAGGAGTTGGAGACCAGACTGGGCCAGCAGAAAAGCGTCAAGTAATCGTCCCACCGTCAGCTCCCTAGTAGCTGGGACTACAGCCCAGAGCGACCATGCGACCAATGTTTTGTTTCTTAGAGATGGGGGGTCCGGCTTTACGAGAGCGCTGAGGGTGGAAGATTGAGCCAGGAGTTCAGGTTACAGTGAGCTATGATCACAGCTAATGCGATTTCTAGGCCTGGGGTGACCAGGGAGCAAGACCTCATTCTTAAAAAAAAAAAAAAAAGGTAGATTTATGCTGGTGTAAGCACTGATTGTCTCTAGAAAGATATATAAGAAACTAGAAGCAGTGGTTACCTCTAAGGGAAACTAGGGAAAGAGAGTAAGGGTAGGAGACATCTTGTTCAACTGTATAGTTATTGTTCATGTGCTTTTGAATTTTTTGTGTGTGTGTGTGTGTTGCCGAGTAGTCCGATGTAGGGGTAGAGGCGCGTTTAAGGAAAGAGCTGGGTTATTATAAGAACATGAAAAAGGAGAATCGAAGAGTGTTATGAGTTGTAGAACCAGTAGACATGGAGAGAAGCTTAATGAAAAAAATGGATAGGATAAAATGTTTTTTCAGATGCCAGAGTATCATTTACATAATTTACTAATATTGTTTTTTGACAAAAAGAAAAAAGAAACCTTTAAAATCAAATATTGCTTTAAGAGAAAATGTGTTTTAATGCTTACTAACTCATACTTATCTTTGAAGTGATAACAGAATAAGCATCCCCAGAAATTATTTGTTTCAGTCTAATAGACATTTTAGCACTCACAAAAGAAGACAACCTTTTCTTGTATTTTAGAAAGATTAATTTTGTTAAAGGAAAGCCAAGAAATAATTCACTTGTATAGAAGTATCCTAACAAGGGGAGGGAAAATTTTTCTGCAACATAAGCTATTTAAGGAGGCTTTGTAAAAGATGATTAATTGAATTTTATTGAAGCTTAAATATAACATCAGTGTCTTAGGCCTTTCTTGGCTTGGTTCACAGGCTCTTAAAAACATGGGTGAAATTCTGAAAGCTGCAGGCTGTGACTTCACTAATGGTGAGCAACTTGATACTACTTCACATTTCTGTTTGATATTTCTTGGGTGTGTTTGAAAAACATGGCATGCAGTAATGTCATGCCTTATCTTTGTTGCTTTTTAAAGTTGTTTTAATGGTCTGGGAAACAATACTATTCACTTCAGTCTTATTTTAATCAAGACAATCACAGAATCATATACTGTTTTCCTAAGTAATGTTTTGGATCAGACCAAGAGCTAAATCTAATGACAGTGTATATATCTTCTAGTGGTAAAAACAACTGTTTTGCTGGCTGACATAAATGACTTCAATACTGTCAATGACATCTACAAACAGTGTAAGTAATTTGGTTTTGTTTCTGTTAAAGAGAAATTAATCTCTTAAATGAATTTTCACTATGAATTAAGAGTAATAGGAGATGCTAAGAAATGGTCATAGCTTATAGTCCCAGCTACTCAGGAGGCTAAGGTGGGAGATCACCTGAGCCCAGGAATTCAAGGGTGCCATGAGCTATGATTGTGCCATTGCACTCTAGCCTGGGCAACAGGGTGAGACCCCATCTCAAAACAAAACAAAACAAAAAAAGGTCATAGATCCTGTCCTAAAAGAATTAGTAGTCTGATTGGAAGCATACAGTGTACCCCCGTGAAAAGAGAAAAAGACTGAAGACAATTTCTATTGCATTCCCTAAAACAATATACTATATATCCATTGGATATGTAGTATATAGGTCCTATATATCCATTATCCTAAAGCTAAATTTTATTGTGCCCTTCTCAGGCTTTTTAAGCCCTCCTAAAAAAATTTTTATGCACATAGATTGTATTTACTATTACTATATGGTCCAGCCACCATCTTTATTCTGGCTCTCTCAGAATTGTTAGCTAGTTAGTTACTTAATATTTCTATGCCTCGGTTTCTTCATATGCAAAATGGGAATAATATACCACTACCTTATGGGGTGGTTGAAATGAATGAGTAAATCAATACACATATAAAGCACTTATAACAGATGCTGGCATGTTGTAAGCACTGAGTAAATGTTAGCTATTATTAACCTTGTTGTCATAGTGGGAACAATGGGTGTCCCTACCTCCTAGTGGGATGAAACAAAGGTGTAACATGGAAAAACCATCATTGCTTATTCTCTCCTGAAGAAATGACTAGAGAAGACCAAAGTCGGCAGAGAAAGTACCTGCCAAAATTTTTGGAGATGGGCAGTTCCCTGTTTAGATAAATAGTTTGTAAATAGCACTTTAAAAACAAAACCTCGCCGGGCATGGTGGCCCACGCCTGTAATCCTAGCACTTTGGAGGCCAGGCGGTGGATTTCTCAAGGTCAGGAGTTCGAAACCAGCCTGGAGCGAGACCCGTCTCTACAAAAATAAAATAATATTAATTGACCAGGCTAAAATTATACAAAATTAAGCGGGCATGGTGGCGCATGCCTGTATGTCCACAGGCTACTCGTGAGGGCTGACCAGTTAGGATCGCTGATGCCCGGAGATTTGAGGTGCGTGGAGCCAGGGCTGACGCCCACGCACTCACTCTAGCCTGCGCACAAAGTGGAGACTCTGGTCTCAAAAATATAATAAAAAAAAAAGAAATAAAAAAAAAAAAAAAAAAAAAAACCTCATTTACATCAAACAAAATCAAAGTGTCAAAATACATATTTTAATTTTTCCCAGAAAACTAACACATTTAGAAAAGTAACATATATGATAGGAATCATATGTTAAAATATTTTATCAAACAAATCCAAATGTGAGCTTTTTTAAAATATGTTGCTTGTATTTAAGAACTGACTAGTCTATGAAGCACTTATCAGATTCTTAATTATACAGTGTTGAATAATAATACAATTTCTGAAAACTAAAATGAAATTCTTTTAAATTCAGATTTCAAGAGTAATTATCCTGCAAGAGCTGCTTACCAGGTTGCCGCTTTGCCCAAAGTAAGTACAATTTAAAGTAACTAAGGTACACAATTTTAAATTTCCACATTGTTTTTTTGAAAATAACAAACTAAGCACTGTGAAAGGAAACTGAAAAAGAAAATAAGTAGTCCCTGCATCCCAGGAACTTAAAGTCTAAAAGGAAACATCCCATATTACATGCATGGAAAAAAAATTAAGAAACTTTATAAGATAACACATTAACATGAATATAATAGAATGAGAATATTTAAATTGTGAGAAAAAGTAAAATAGCAGCTATACTGTAGTAATGTTACTTAGGGGACTATAAATTTGAGCCAGGTGTTTGTGAGTTCTGCGGTAAAAATTTCACTTGGATATTATATAAAAAAAACTAGACCTTCCACTAGAAAAATAACCTCTATACTAGAGGTATACATATTTCTCACCATTCTGATTTTGATGTTCTAACTAGAAGCTGTGCCTTTTATTAATAGCAGCATAATATTCCTGCCTATAAAGAAAGAAGCAGCTCTTACTGATGTCCACTTGTAACTTTCTACTAAAGAAAATTTATCTCCCCAAGAGAGGCATTATTCCTTTAATTGGTTGTTACTTGGAATGATCATTATCACACTTAATAAGGTACTGGGTATAGTAGAATGAACTTCGAATCACAAGATAAGGGTTTGAACCTCTGCTATCTATTAATAGCTTTGTGAGTTGGGTTGAGTTATTAATAAATTACCTTTCTAAACTTCAACATATTTTATGAATTGAGGGGAAAACATCCATGTAAATAGAGCTACTGTAAGAATTGTATGAGCTAATATCCTATGAACTTGCGTGGTGTGGCAACCTGGCCTATTGTGTACATTCTTAGTGAATATTTCCTTCTATCCTTCTTTGAAAACTTTAATGTTAAAAGTACTATATTGTTGTTAGTTACATATGTTTTTAGTAGGTGTTGTGGAACTCTTAATTTGTACGAAATGATTGAAACATTTTTTCATTATTTTCCTCACAGGGAGGCAGAATTGAAATTGAAGCAGTAGCTGTCCGAGGACCTTTCACAACACCATTGCTCTAACGGCTGGGCAGTGCTATCTATTCTGGAATTTTACGTTCTGATCATAATCCACCTCTTAAATTTTTATAATCCTGACTAGAAGCATACAGCTTGCTAAAAATATCTGAAATCTATCATGGCAAATCACCGGACACTCACCACAGGGGTACGTTGAACTGAATCGACAGATCTAGACTAATGCATCCCAGTTCTTGGGTGTGTAAACTTACACTCTACTGTATACCCTATGACCTCGAAGTGTAGGAAACGAGATATCTTCTTCACACTAGTCTTAATCCAAATGAAACTAACGGGTAGGAAAGATGAGCTTAGTTGTCTGAGAAAAATCAAAAACACTTAATCGAACTAATGATGTGAACTAGCTTTAGTTCTTCATGTCAGACATCTACTGATTTTTTTTAATTGAGCTAAGATTCAAAGGTATCTAATTAATGGTAGAGTCTGGAGACAGACAGTGGACAAATTTTATCATAAGATTAACTATTTTTCTAATGGATAAACACGACACACTGCACTATTCCCTCCCTTGGTGCTCGGCTTTCTGTTCAAACTTATTCTTTCTTCGTAACGTTTACACTTAATATAATACCTAATAAAGGAAAAGGTGTTAAGCTTAAATCCCTCCAACTACTCATTTCTCAAAGCCTTCCTCTGACCTGCTTGTACACACCCTTCACTATTACAAGTCCTTTTAAACACTTTTTCAGACCGCAGCATGAAACCTCCTTTTTCGCTAGAACTACATCAACACGCACTAATGCTAGACTTAAAAAAATTTCCCTTCACTCATTCTCCATTCTGCTTACCTCCCCAAAAGAAGAATACACACTCGCGCCCAAGAGTCTTGTGGTGTCACGCCTGGCAGCACTTAGCTTCTTTCTATCATTACAGCTCACTAGATTACCTGGTTTGGTTTTGCGTGTTTACATCAGAACTTTTCTGCATATATTATGTTGAAGATCTTTCCATATAAATACATATAGATCTGCTTTTTAAAAACTGCTGCAGTGTTCTTGTGTGTAGATATATATACCTTAAGTGATTTAACCATTCCTCCAATTTGTTGTTTTCTTTCTTTCTTTCTTTCTTTCTTTCTTTCTTTTTTTTTTTTTTTTTTTGAGACAGAGTTTTGCTTTGTTGCCCAGGCTAGAGTGAGTGCCATGGTGTCAGCCTAGCTCACAGCAACCTCAAACTCCTGGGCTCAAGGGATCCTACTGTCTCAGCCTCCCGAGTAGCTGGGACTACAGGCATGTGCCACCAAGCCCGGCTAAGTTTTTCTATATATATTAGTTGGCCAATTAATTTCTTTCTATTTTTAGTAGAGGTGGGGTCTCACTCTTGCTCAGGCTGGTCTCGAACTCCTGACCTTGAGTGATCCTCCTGCCTTAGCCTCCCAGAATGCTAGGATTACAGGCGTGAGCCACCATACCCGGCCAAGAGTCTTCTTTCCACACTGAAGGAGAATCACTAGATTTTGTTAAGTGTGAAAAAAAACACATTGCATGTTGGCCTTTCAAACATACTTAAAGATACAGCAGTCTCTATAAAGTGTGAAATATCTAAAAAGTCACCATATTTCCTTGCTGTTGTCATATTCCTTACCTTGACAGAGTATGTAATTTAACATCTGCTATTTTTCAGAGGACATAATGAAACACCGAAATATTCATACTTGCTGATTAAAGACAATTTCAGATAAAAAAACTACACCAAGATAGGCTTTCAACCCACGTTGATTGGGTTACTAAATAGCACTTATTTATTCAAAACCATAAACCTATAAATGTTGGAAACCAAGACAATACAAAATCATTTTATAAAAATTTTGGCCCTATTTCCTCCAATAGGCAATAGCTAATCTTACGGTTATAAGGAGAAAAGCTTTACACATGAAATAAATATAAAGAGAATAAAGAGTGTTATTTCACAAAAACATATTTACAGAATGCACAACATATAGTCTATAACTGGACCCCTGTGAAAGAAAATGAGAAGAACAAGTATAGAGCTACCTTCTCACTGCCCTCCCAAATAGAGCTCATACAACTGGTCTCTCTGACTTCTGCAGATTTATTGCAGCAATTGGAAAAGTATTCAACAGATAAATTACCAAATAAAAATATTCCATTTTCGAGTGCGAGAATATCTACTCTAATCAGAAATCTATATTTCGTATGAATCAGCTAAGTGCTCAGATCATACTGATAGGCACGTTGACTTTGCGTCCTACACCAACTAATCAATAATTTAAGATACAATATGCAAAGTATTATGGAATCACTTCTTGTATAACTGATTGACCTGCCATGGATTTCCAGTAAGAACATTCAGCAGAGTGCTGTGCTCATCCAACTCAGATGAGAAGAGTTTTTTTACATGAGACTGAATAAGCGAGGAAAACGTTGAAGCCTGTATGCTCCGTACTTAGATCCAATCTAAATAATGGAAGATCAGTTGAAAATCAGATAATCAGTTCTTTTCTCCACTGACCCTCCTAGGGAGATGTTGGAAGTAAATGGTTGAGAAAGTCAACCTTTGGGCCTCATGACTTCCTCATGAGGATGCTGGGCCAAGTCCCTCCCCGAACCCCAAGAGACCATCTACAGGAGTACACCTGCCAAGGGAATGCCTCGGGTCATCTGAATAATCTTAAAGTGCTTTGAAATCAGGGTCATAGTAGAAATCAATTCAATACAACATGTGTCTTTTTTCATAAATTTATCATGATAGTGATGAATGAGGTTTTGTGAGGTTTTATTTAGAAGAAATTGTGATGACGAATATCTATACTCTATAACAAAGAAGATGAGGCAGATCGCCTCAACAAAATGTAGACTATCCTAAGTTGGGTTTCTCGAACCTTTTTAGAGAACGAGTAGAACCAGGTCGCAGATCTGTCTCATAGATAAGTGGATGGGTTGGCATGTTTTTATGTCAATGTCAGTGGCCATTATTAAACTGGAAAGGGTAATTAGATTGATATTATGGATTGGACTTTCTTGTCCCCTTTGCAAGTTATTAAAGCCTGGCTCTGATGGTCTGACTTCTTTCATTTAGGCAACAGGATAATCGATAGGGTTGTTAGGCTTGTTAACATCTCAAATACTTCCCGAGTAAATTTGCTGGAGTAGATAATTCTAAAAGAAAGCACAAAGGCTTCCAATTTGACTGTGTATGATTATAATGCCAGGGAGATCCCAACCTTTTGTTTATAATAACAGGAACTGAAAAGAGAAACCCACACCTGTCCGCTGCTCTGTTGAGATTACACTGATTCTGCTTTGCAACTTAAAAGCCTTGGAGATTACGACCAAACACTCATATTATAACTGAGGAGGAGTGAGAAGCTGACACAGTTTTGAGCTTTAAATGACATTCTTGTAAGCAAACACTTTCAACGTTTCAAACACAGCACTGCCTCTATTGGTTCAGGAGACGAGAGAGAAGAGGAGATTCTCTTTTTACATTACAATGTGTGTTGGCAGAATGAATGGCTTTATAATGTCCCACTGCTGGCCTTGTTTCAGAATTCAGAATGATCACCAAATTGTTCTTATGAAACAAGACTTGTATGTTAACACATATATTTGCCAAAAAGAGCAAATAAATAGGTTATGTTAACATACCATCCAAATATTCTTTGATTGTATAAATGTGAAAAAATTTTCCTTTAAGAATTTTAATTCACATTGATAACTTTGTTAAGAGTGATGTAGGTTTTTTTTTTTTTGAGACAGAATCTCACTTTTGTTGCCCAAGCTAGAGTGAGTGCGGTGGGTGTCAGCCTAGCTCACAAGCACCTCAAACTCCTGGGCTTCAAGCAATCTCCTGCCTCAAGCCTCCCAAGTAGCTGGGACTACAGGCATGTACCACCATGCCGCTAATTTTTTGATGTATATATATTTTTAGTTGGGTCAATTAATTTCTTTCTATTTTAGTAGAGAGACGGGTTTCGCTCAGGATGGTTTCGAACTCCCAACCTGAGCATCCCGCCCACTTCGCCTCCAGAGGCTAGGATTACAGGCGTGAGCCACCGCGCCCGGCCCGATGTAGGTGTTTTGACTGCTCAAAACATAAAAGCTATTACTCCAAAGTCTAAATTAAAAAAAAAAGAAACACAAAAAACCAGTAAGGCAACAGGATGACCACACATTTCTATCCTGTGGTTCCCCCACCGGGTTGGCACTTCAGGCCAAGAGTTATGGAGTGTGGTCTGGGTAAAACCTAGATTTGCAACTGGCACCCCCTGCTGGTAAACGCAAGTGTTCACTCTCTATTGGGGATGCTAGTTGGGAAACTGGTTCACCAAATCCCTCCCAGTTAGGTACAGAAAATAATAAAATTACCTTAATTAATAGGACATAAACTGGGCTACAAAGTGGCTGCATAGCACCCCAGGGATAAAAAGTCCAGCGCTGATGGCAGTTTTTCTATGAATTCATTATGACAGCTCAAGCCTGTCATCCACCTTGTGCACTTTGAATCTGGGGGGAAAATTGATCATCTCTCAGGTCTCTTGGGACTTAGGATCAGAATACATTTTGCTTTTTTAAAACTATCAGTTTGGGGAGGGTGGTAGTGTGGTAAGGGATGAAAACTTACCTATCAGGTACAATGAATACTATTCTGGTGACGGGCACTCTAAAAGCCCTGACTTCAGCATTATACAATGTATACATGTAACGAAAACCATTTGTACCCCCTTAATATTTTGAAATTTTAAAAAAGTATCTGTTTTAGGCAAAATAAAAAATTCTAACAGGAAATGATAAATTAATGGTTTTATATACACGTTTCATAGTACAAGGGCTATGTGACTAGTTTGTCATTTGTGTTTTAAAATGCAGATATGGAAATATACACTTATATTTTACTATATATAGACAGCCTGGCATATACATATACCTTTTTTTCTGGAAGTATACACTAGTGAAGTGAACCGTCCTGGGGTCAGATTGGCTGAGACCCCAAGTCAGCAGAACGGGAGCCCATTGGTTGTTCCCACAATTAGCAGGATGTGGCTTGTTGACCGGCTGAAGAAACTATTTCTCCAGGCAAACAGCCAAGAACCTGTGGCCTTGCATGGGAGCCAAGGTTACCTGGTAGCCAGCTCATGGTGCTAGGCCCTGCAAGACGGTCTAGGATTCAAAGTCTCACACTTGAGCCGAGATTGTTTGTTATCCAAAAGCGGTACAAAATATCAAAGAGATCTCTTATAGAAAGCCATGCTTTTTGCTTTGACTGGAAAAGCAGGTGTTGTTGGCCGTGGGAAGTCACGTGCCAAAAAGTAGCTGGGAAAGTAGCTGGCATGAGAAAATAGCTGTGGGACGCTTGCCCAATTAAACTGTATATAATAAATTGACGAGCACTTTTCCAGTGCTGCAGTCTGAAACCATCTCTTGTCTCTGTTACCTTTTTTCTTCCAGGACTGCAGCCAATTCTGTCTGTCTGTCTGCATCTTATGTATATGTTCTGTGTATGTCGCCCCTCGTTCTGTAATCGGGCCATGACAACTAGAGACTTTATTATTTTTCATGGAAGGACTACAGAATGGAGAAGGGAAACTTCGACTTGCCTTAATTTTGTATACCCTTCTGTATTTGACTTTTACTGTAGGCATTTATTACTTTTTTTAATTAACAGATTATTTAGGTGGAATATTTAAATTTGGAATATTCAAATATTATGGAATATTTTAATTTTCTTTATAGGTTTTTAAACACTCAATATTATCTAAAAGAATAAAAAAAACAAAGTTTCTGGCTGGGTGTGGTGGCTCACACCTATAATCCTAACACTTTGGGAAGCTGAGACAAGGAGGATCACTTGAAGAGTTTGAGACCAAACCTGGCCAACATAGGGTTGACAGGTCCTCTACAAAAATAGAAAAATTAGGCAGGTGTGTCTCATGCCTGTAGTCCCAGCTACTCGGCATGCTGAGGCAGGAGGATCCCTTGAGCCTACAAGTTTAAGCCTGGGTGGACAGAGTGGACCCCTATCTCTAAAAACTAAAAGTAAAAAATAAACAATTTGGAAAACTTCTAATTGGAACTATATAATGCTTTTTGAGAAAGTTTTCTCAAGAATGTCTTCTGGGCCAGGCGTGGTGGCTCACGCCTATATTCCTAACACTCTGGGAGGCCAAGGCGGGATTGCTCAAGGTCAGGGAGTTCGAAACCAGCCTGAGCAAGGAGTGAGACCTGTCTCTACTATAAATAAAAGAAAATTAATTGGCCAACTAAAATATATAGAAAATTAGCGGGCAATCCGGTGGCGCATGCCTGATGAGTCCAGCTTACTGGGAGGCCTGAGGGCAGGAGAATTGCTTGAGCTCAGGAAGTTTGGAGGTTGCTGTGAGCTGTAGGCTGATGCATGGCACTCCACAGCCGTGGGCAACAAAGTGAGACTCTGTCTCAAAAAAAAGAATGCCTTCTGAATAGATCTCTTTTACATATGTTGGATTTTTTTTTCATGTCCCTCTTACATTGTTAATGTAAGAGATTCAATAGTTCTTTTTTTGTGTGTGGAAGTATTTATTTATTTATTTAGTTTCCAGCATATTAAGGGGGTACAAGTGTTAAGGTTACATATATTGCCCTTGCCCCCACCCCCCTTGAGTCAGAGCTTCAAGCATGTCCATCCCCTAGATGGTGCGCATTACACTCATTATGTATGTATATACCCATCCCTCCCCCTCCACCTGCCTGACACCGGATAAATGTTATTCCTATATGTCCACTTAGGTGTTGATCAGTTAATACCGATTTGCTGGTGAGTACATGTGGTGCTTATTTTTCCATTCTTGGGATACTTCACTTAATAGAATGGATTCTAGCTCTATCCAGGAAAATACAAGAGGTGCTATATCACCATTGTTTCTTATAGCTGAATAGTACTCCATAATATACATGTACCACATTTTATTAATACACTCATGTATTGATGGTCATTTTGGTTGTTTCCACATCTTTGCAATTGTAAATTGTGCTGCTATAAACATTTGAGTGCAGGTATCTTTTTTATAGAGTGTTTTTATAGTAGATACCCAGTTATCTTTATAGTAGATACCCAGTAATAGGATTGCTGGATCAAATGGTAGATCCACTTGTATCATTTTAAGGTATCTCCATATTGCTCTACACAGAGGTTGAACTAGTTTGCAGTCCCACATACGTTGGAGATTTTTAAAAAAGACAATCCGCCCAACAGAGAATGGACCTTTATGCCTATTGATTAAATTACTCCTTCTATTAAATTTCAGTGCTCAATACAAAGGACAATTCTACTTATTAAGGAGAACATTCATATTTTACACTAAATCCTAACATTTTCTACTTATTAGACATCTGTATAAAAATGTCTTATGGGCAGGAAAAAAAACCTATGGATAAAAAAATGTAGCTTGAAAGATAAGTTATACCACTTCCTAATTTATAGAATTTTCTGACCTAAAAATATTGCTGTTTTGGGAAATACACCAAACATACAGCTTTTCATTGAGCTTGAGCAGTCTTGACTTGAAAATGGATTTTCTTCAATGTCCCGGGTAGGACTGGTGTGGTGTTACACAAATTCATATTTTAAATGTATTATTTTTAATGAGTTAAATATAAATGGGAACCCTTGGCCTTTATTATTCATTTAATGATTCAACAAATATTTATCAAGTATCTATCATGTTCTGTTAAAGGAGCTAAATGCCTGAATTCGAAGATATATAAAACACAGTGCCTGCTCTCAATAAAATCACAATCCAGCATCTTTACTTTGTAGAAAGGATGATGTCATCTACTAAAGGAACTCTTCTTGTTATCTATCGTAACAGTTTAAAGTCAGAAGCATAAACTATTGTTAAAATCAGAACAAAGATGATATATTCTTCCCTGTATCCTATATTCTTATCATTATTATAGGTCATCTTAGTTATCACTTTAATGTAGAAGCTAGTTAATTCGTCTGAATAGTTACCTTAGAAATACATATTTACAAGTAAGATAAAGAAACCAAATGTTTCCAGAATTCTATTCTGATATCCACAAAGGAAAGGCACTCAGTGGTGGGCAAGTTACCTACTAATATTATTATGATTTATATACAATCATTTACCAAATTCCTTGCCAACTTTGGAAGCATTCCTAAAAACTGACTTTGTATGGTGCCTCATTTTAACACTGAAATATTATAAATGCTTTTAAAATCTTGGTTTCTCCTTTCTACCTCAAAAGCTTAATATTAAATCACGGCCATCTAAAAAAGAATAAGGCCCAGGGATAAGGTTTTAATTCTTGCTGTTTATTGCCTCTGAAATACATTTAAAAGTCAATTAATTTGAAATACATTTAATGTTATTCCAAAAGATAACACCAATTGAAAAAACCTCACCTAAGTGTAAAAATCAACAGCTGAATCAAAATGGCACATGGAAAAGGTACAGCCTTTCATTGTGAAAAATGCCTAATTGTGCAATAGCACCAGAGTTTGAATTCCTTTTGTTAACATATTTAATACACCATGATAAATAAGGATCTGTGGGTAGCAGACAGCCTTAAAGGTGAGAAGGAAATTAAATGATATACTCTCTAAGGCCCCTATCAGCTCTAAATTCTGTCACAGGACAGAAATAGTAGGTAGAGTTCGTCCTGTTGATTTGCTATTGTTCATTCTTATTTCCTTGTAATTATAACTGTGTGACTTTATTATCATTAATTTTCTAAAATTTAGTAACTCTTTTCTCCAGCCATCTGTACCTAAAGGTTTATAGTTTCTTTTCAGGGTCTAGTTTTCTATATTGAATGGACCCATTGCCACAATGAAGAAAGTCACCCTAACACTCTTAAATGATCCATATATCCTAATTTTTATTGGCTCTGGCTAATGTCGTTTTTAAAGTATAACTATTCTAAGTAGCTAAAATTGTTTACAGCTTAGCAGTTTTATAGAACAATGTAATCAAGAACATGAAAACAACATTCTCATGGTGCCAACAGGCTACCAAAAACCACACTCCTTGTGTAAAACGTGTAGATGTAGAGAGGCAAGATCCATAACCACAAGCTTCACTACATTTTTGTCTTCTCTGTTATAACACACCGTGTCCATTCACCCTTCTCTCGCCAGGCCTGTCTATGTGGCTGCCGAAAGGTCCACAGCTTCTCCTGTTTCTTCTTCTTTTGTTTCAGCCCCTTCACTTACTTTCTCATTCTCCATCTCTGTTTCCATCTTTTCCCCTGTCTCACCTGGAAATTAACCAAAGGAGATATTAAGAGACCCTCATTTATCATTAACAATAAATTACCACCCAGTTTGTTTCTGGCAGGGGCAGTTCTTGATCTTTAGGTCTGAACGGTAAGTTTCTCTGACGGTAGCTGAGTTAATCAATGAAAAAACAGATCGGTGATTATAATTAATGTCTCACATAATTATACTATACTAAGAAGGCTAAGATTTACCAAATGAAAGATTTACCAAAATGAAAATCATGCTCTAGAAGAACATATTTATTTTTTTATTATAGCACCAATAAAGAACAGTATAAATATAATTTGGTTTTTTTGGTTGTTTTAAGAAGAGTGAATATGCTCTAGAACACTGAAACATCTCCTCTGAACAGCACAGAGCTCGCACCTCAGAGCCAATGGGAAAGGACGAGCAGGTCCAACTTCTAGAACAATTTCCAAAAGAAGAATCTCCAGAAATCTTGGAAGGAAGTCAGCCTGTGGAAATAGCTGAAGAGCAGCAACTTCAAGCCAACACTGGAACACAGGAGCATTCCAGCTTCTAGAACAATTCCCAAAGAGAATACACCAGAAGTCTTGACAGGAGTCAGCTTGGAAACACCTGTAATGAATGATCCACTCCTAAACTCCTGAAGGTCCAGAAAACATGGAACAGATTCAAATTGAAGAAGTAGTTTGAAGCTTGGAGCATCCAGCAGGAGCTGCAGAACAGGGCCGGTGTGGAAGTGTCAGGAAAATTCACTAATGAAGAGGACCAACACATTGAAGTAAATTATGCTGTCAAACATTCAGGATGTTCACAGTGCTCTGTAGAAACCAGCTCTGGGCGAAGGATGACTGACATAATACGTGAAATTCTTTCAGCTGGTAAAGATCATTTGACCTAACCAAAAAGGCTTCCATACCTGAGAAATAGGCATTCATCAAGCTCAGTTCAGCTTGCAAGAACTTTTCTAAAGTGCAATTCTAACATAACGAATTTGATGTTAAATGGTATCAACATTGAAGCAACATGTTAAAATTTCTGAATTTTTCCAGGTTCACCTTCATAGCCCCCTGTATATAGAGGATCCAAAGTAAAGGTGAATGTTAGTGGAGGAATTGACCTTCAAATGAAAGAATATGCAAATGATGGATCCTAGAAGGAGAATGTTATTTCCATCTTAGCCAATCTTATATTTAGGAAATGACTGTCAGTCTTCCCCTGTTCTTCTGTAGTCTTTTGATCTTTATGAGGAGACTAGAGAAAATGTATTTTGTCTTGGCATATGGGTTTTAGAATTTTAGATGTGTTCTATCAGCATAAACCAAATTATATTCTCTGAGAGGCCGAGGCAGGTGGATCGCTCGAGGTCAGGAGTTTGAAACCAGCCTGAGCAAGAGGAGTCCCCCGTCTCACAAAAAAATAAAGAAATTAATTAGCCAACAAAGAATATGAAAAAATTAGCCAGGCATGTGGCTCATGCCTGTAGTCCCACCTACTGGAAGCCTGAGGCAGGAGGATTGCTTGAGCCCAGGAGTTTGAGGTTGCCGTGAGCCAGGCTGGCAACCATGACACTCTAGCCTGGCACCATGACACCTAGCCTGGGCAACAGAGTAAGCACTCTGTTCT